ACAGCACAAATACCAACAGCAAAACTAGGAGTGGCAACACAAATACCCATAACAACCCTGGGAGTGGCAACACAAATACCAACAGCAAAACTAGGAGTGGCAACACAAATACCCATTACAACCCTGGGAGTGGCAACACAAATACCCATTACAACCCTGGGAGTGGCAACAGAATTACCCATAACAACCCTGGGAGTGGCAACACAAATACCCATTACAACCCCAGGAGTGGCAACACGAATACCCGTTGCAACCCAGGGAGTGGCAACACAAATACCCATTACAACCCAGGGAGTGGCAACAAAAATACCCATTACAACCCAGGGAGTGGCAACACAAATACCCATTACAACCCAGGGAGTGGCAACACAACTCCACTCGTTGACAAAAGATTAATTTGATGGAATTAAAACACCTGATTTCTTAGTATGACAAGATTTAATCTATTCGTATGACCTGACTTCCAGCACATACATGCACCTATATGGATGCATACTCAATGACCCTTTGAAATACCTGAAATGTTTTTGCCAAAATCTTGGTGTAACATTTTGTAAAGTTGTCTGTACTTTTTGTTAAATGTTATAAATGAATATAATTTTTCTATTGGCAACAGGGCTTGATCAAACTATAAATACATCATTTTCAAGTTCGATAAAGAAGCCAGTTTTAGCCGAATCCAAACTTTGTTGTATGCAACTACACATATATGCAATGCATTATGGGAGAGAACCTGCCATTGTAAATAGTAGAAAGCTACTATCACCCTGGAAACTCACTAAATTATTTGTCAATTTTGTCATGATATTAGGATTCATGTCAATAATAATATATGACTTTTTCATTCTTTGTCCTCGAGCAAAATTTCAAGATACGAATGAATACATATATCCATAGAAATCAAATGCAATTTTGACCATACTCCATGACATTTGGAATTCTGGTGACCCCAACTTTTGTTTTTTCATTTTTGATATCCTGATTTTTTGAATTCATGATGGTAGCATGACAAACATTACATACAATTTAGAATTCGAATCAAGTCTCCTAAATGAGTACTCTTCTTGTTATAGAACACCCCCCCCCCACCACACGGAATTATAAAATAAGATAAATCCTTGCAATCTGCCTCATTGTACTTTTGAAAAAAAAGTCTAAATAACAATTATGAAAGAACTTTACAAAGAACAAACTTTCTTTTTAAAACATTAAAAGTACTATTTACAGCAAAACGTTCACGATCAATCAGAATGAATGTACATAAAAGACATGATTATTTATTTCTATTGGTATATACAAAACTGTACAGGTTCTGTTTCCATAGTAACATTATGTATCTATGGCATCATTTTGTATAAATAAAAACAAACCTGACAAAAATATAGAAAAATTATTACTTTGGCAACTATTCTGTATGAAGGATTACTTTGGTTTTGTTTCTAAAAAATAATTGCATGTTGTGTAATTCTCATGATGGTGGAATAAAGCACACAAAGCTGCAAAGTCCAATCAATTGTGTTTGAAACAGTGATAAAAAAATGATTGATGCAAGCCTGTCGATATTAACAGAGGATAACGTTGAATGTATCAATGAGAAAACTACTACAAGAATACATCAGATTCAAAACTGAGCTCTTATCTTCTACAAGTCAGAGCTGTTGCAATCAAGCATTTTGAAAAAGAGTATGATATCAAGTTTTTCATTATAAAAATATGCTGTCATACACCGAGGAAGGTGAAAGCACCAATAGTTGATTAGCCTCCCTCCCCCTCAAATTCTGGCTACAATGGACAACTTTAGAAAATAAAACAATCCTATCATGAAGTGGATGGGATAAATCGCTATGAAATTTCAGACATATTAGTCTAGCACAATGATGGATTATGATGACGTATAACCGGACGTACTCAAAGAGGAGTCACTTATTTACACACTGTCTTCAAGCACTCTTGTACTGTGCATACAGAGAAGCAGCCGCACACATAAACCAACATTGCAAATTAAAATCAAAATATAAAAACAAAAAAATTAAAAATCAATACATTTGGTCCATACAATTGACATTGGAAGGAATAATCTTACAGCAGCCTTGCGTGAGGTATAAATATCTCCATAGTAGAAAATATTAAATGCTTTTCTATTCTGGATGGTACTTTATTAAGATTTTGTGATTGCACATTGTACAAGTGTATAACAGCGATACATTTTTTTTTCTTTTTTTCTTTTAATTTTGATCACTGCCAAAATCTGTAAAGCATTAATGCAGTATTAAATGTGCTCTGAGTATTGAATGAAATAAATTAAAGGTTTGTTTCGCCCCTGCCCCCTCAATGCTTTTAATGAAAATTCACCTTGAAACAACATTTTAGTCTATATTGACAGTTATGTGAAGAAGTTTGTCATGTTTTACACCAGTTTTTCAAACTTTTTGTATATTTTAATTGACAGGATGAGGGTTTACAATACAAAATAGCTGTGTATTTCTGGCACAATCTTCTAGGGCTACCGCCGACTCCCATATCTGTAAGAAATGAACAAAATCAAAGGTAAGCTGCATTGAAATCCATCTAGGGGTGTTTTTTTTTAGTCATTTTACACGAGGAGTGTATGAACTCAGGATAACCTTTTACTGTACTAGGTAAACACAGGATCTTCAGGAGATAAGTAGATCACACGACTTGTGCTGTATTTATTTAGCACATCTTATTTACTCTATTAGAAATGCATTAATGACAGAATTCCAGACCCAAAGCAAAAAAATTTATTTCAGCTGTTTTAATTTTGTATGTTGTTGTGTTATGAATATATGTGATAGCTAAGATTTTCAATATGAACGATATTTGGTTTCAGAGAACTTCTGCAGGGCAACAGTGCCATAACAGTACTGCAGAGGGCTGTGGTGAGTTTCAAAGTTGTGAAGGCAGTTTGAAACAAAACATTTTTAAAATGAGTGAGTTACAAAGACATACGGGCACAACATCAGTCATTGAGGCAATTGCCTTGGAGTTTGAGCTTGTGGAATATAACAACAGTATAAAAAAAAAACATGTGTTTGGTTCATTCTACTTTGCACCTTTATGTGTATAACACAAGTATCCTCTATCAAAACATCCACATGCATTCAGATAATACCGTACTGGAAATGGGTCATTGCCAGAAATGTGTGAATAATACCAAGAATTTTTAATATTTCTCAAATACTTGGATCAAAAGCAATACATAAATCATATACTGTAGCTGCTCACATGCATCTTTATTAGTTCGCATATAAGCCACAAATTATTGTAAGCTAGATCATCAAAATATGACTTATTCGGCCAATCACATGGCTCTGTCAGTTACGTAAGCACAACAAATAAACCAAATATGGTACATACTTTGCAGCCCAGTCTGTTCTTCCATGTATTGGTTGTGCTCGTAGTCCCGGTGATCCTTTAGTAGCAGGGAGAAGTCCACCACCAGCTCTAGCAGTAGGTTTCCAACCATAGTCTGTTGATGACAAACAACATACATACCTTATAAGTGTCTGTATGCATTGAGTTAGTTGAAAATATTCCTGCTTCCTAATACATGCTATCCCACCCAAAATTAATACTTTTATTTCTACTTATTAGTTTCAAGAACTTCCAAGTACATGATCGGTAATGTCAGAAAACTTAAAAATGCAAATATTACAATTTTTTTTCTAACACTGTTAGAAAATGCATATTGACCATCAGAATTTGATTCCATTCGACTGAACAACATATCTAAAAACTAATAAATGATGCAAGTCTGAAAGATGGCAAAATGTCAGTAAAATTACAGAGAATACACTCAGACATATGGATCAATAGACCAGAATGCACTCTGACTATGATCAGGCTAGTGCAGTACCTTCATTACCCAGTGTTCTTACATTTCCTATTCTTTCAACAGTTTTTTGTGATTTAATTCTCCCACTTTAAAGTCATGCACGAAATGGATATCTACAATTTTTTTTTTACCTGATAGCCCTGGTAACTTGTTGTCTTTCTTGGTTACAAACTTTGGAACATATGAACCAGCTGGTGAGTTGAATCTGTCATCTGTACCTGGGTGTTGTATGGCTCTCCTGCCGTAGGTAGCACCAGTGCCGATGCCCCCACCACCACCTATACCACCTGTAAGGATTATCAAGACATTAGAGATAAGCATCACATATGAAATTGAGTGTGACTGCATAATGGGCTGGCCAGGGCTTGAATGGCAAAATGTTAATGTTTAAAGACATGTATACAGTACGGCTACAGCTTCGGTATTCACAAGATATTTTTTATCAATAACTGAGCATTACCAAGCAGTTTCAAGGATCAGGTTGTCAAGTTTTCATCATCTTAGGGTGTAATCAAGTCACTGAATCACGTACAAAATTCTCACTTTGACTATTGAAGATGAAGAAGTACTGGACACTTGAGTTGTTTCCTAAATAGCCATTAGGGAACTCCCTTTTCAATTTATAGGAGGACTATTTTAATAGTGTGTCTGAGTGAACATCGAACATTACATACTTTCCCATAACATACAGATTTTTGGTCAAGTTACTCAAAATATAAAGGACTTTTAACTATGCTTTCCTAAAGATCAATTTATGTTAGTGTTGCAGTCATCCAATAGTAATATGATATATTGCAAATAAGGATGTAGCCATTATTTTTCGATGTTGGCAACACCTTTGTTGTTTGCAGCAGCTGGAACTGCCTGCAGCATTATTCTATGACATGTCTGTGAGCTGAACACAGTGTTTATTACATGACAGCTACTATCAGATCATAACATTATAACATTTGACTCATTCGAATACATCTAATCAGCAGCCATATTATAACTTCATAACTTGTATGCGAAACATGTACTGTTATCAAGAAATCTCCAATAAACAGCTGATTTGGAACGACTGTCATCAGTTATTTAACATTTAACATTTTACATATTTGATATTCATTTTGTTTTTATAGCCATCTAAAATGCAATTTCATTTTTTTTTTTTTGAGGCAGCTGTCCATGGACAGTAAATTATTAACGCGGCTTATTTTATCTTTCTGTAACCATAGCAACTGTTATGATATAACACTAATAAGGGAGTCTGTGTACTTTATTATTGAAAAGGGCCCAACTAATGAATAAAATAACAAATTTTCTGTGATTTTTTTAAAATATTTTGTTAATTGTGCACCAAGGTGAAATAATACATATTTACTCTTATATTGATATTGATCGGAGTTCAACAGGAACCCGGCAACACTGAATAGGATTGGCTATTTAAAAGTAATACAAACATTTTGTCTATTATTAGTTTATGCCTTACATGTATGGCAGAGAGTTTTAATTTATTTCAAATCCAACATACAACAAACGCAATTTTTTGGATTATTATAATGCGATAGATGATGAAGCAAAACTATTTTTTCCAATAGGATTGCTCTTTTGTAATGCTTTAATCTGAAAAAATGTCTTAAACAAATGGTGTCTGAATTAAAATACCCAATGAATCAGAGGTTTTGCCCATCAGTTGTCTAAACTTTTCACACAATTTAAAATTGTTGGCAATTTTTTGAAATTGTGTGAATAAGTAAGCAGGTCTTAGTGTCAACAGAGGGCGCCATTTCTAAGTAGGTCCTCAGTTAATAACAATGTCACGTATTAATATTCTAGCTATTAATATCATCATTATATTAGATGTAACACTGATAACAGCAATAGCTAAGTGCCAATGCAAAATTATGTTAATTAGGGTCAATCTACATCAACACATGATCGGCATTGACCAATCAGTGTTTGTTTTACTTCTGGTTCTTTCAAATTCAGTTGGCTCATGTTATTACAGTGTTCCTGTACCAGTCACACTTTTTTTTACTGTATTACGATGGTGTTATAAAAAGACCCAACCCCTGCCTGTATTTCTGTAACGCTGTTCGAAAACAAATTTGTACACACCACACAGACAAGACACAACAACAAAGCAAACGATCTAATGGCAAGACATGCAATACACAAAACATAAGCTATTAATGTCAGTCGTTAGATGTGCATGCAACGGTTAGATACACAACTCAGGCTGTACATTGTATAACATGCACACATTCTACATGTACATCCCCATTACAATGGCTGCCAATTTTAAGCTTTAACTGTTAGCTACAGCTGGGACCCATTACTGTCAATAATTCAACGTGTTCAGTACATTGTCAGTTATATTCACTGAATCTATTTCACATTTTAACCTTCCTACTTTCACAATTTCAACACTTCAGCGACAAGGACACTTAATTTTTACTGGTCTCAATCAAAATTCATGAGAAACTCAAAAATGTCATATAAAATCAAATGACTTTTTTGCATTTATGTAAGTTTGAGATGTGTCTGGCGTTATGTTCACAAGGGAACGTGGTTCATGTGTTGAAAAAACATGTGTGCAGTGCATGGCAACACACTAAAAACATATCTGCATATGGTAAAAT